CCCCCACACACACTCACACACACAAGTACGCATGCACACACAAATATCTCTCATATATACACACACACTCACACACAACACACTCACACACAAACACAGTCAAACAGACACACACGCTCGTTCGCACACACAGCCATTCTCACGGACAAATTGTCTTTTTGCAAGCGTTGGCGCATATACACAAATATACACAAACGCCATCAAACATTCACTCGACATCAGCAAACACCTTCTGTAAACCCCCCTCCAAAAACCCTTGAATCTTTTGATCGCAGTGCGAGCTTAGTCCTGGGTGACCGGGCCACTGGGTCAGACGCGACAACTGACCGGATTGACACCTGGATGAGTGGGGTGTGCGCACTGTCAACAAAGTTGACCGTACAACATGACCTCCTCCCCACTGACACTTAGAGAACATTTTTATTTTAAAAAAGAAATGGATCATAGTCCAGTTCCAAGTGAAACTGACCCCCCCCCCCAAAAAAAAACAACAACAAAAAAACAACAACAATCCTCCCTTAACCCAAACCCGCAACAGAAAACAAACAAAAGTAACATTACAACTACAAAAGCAAACAAAAAAGACAGAGGCAAACGATCAAAAGAAACCCAAAATAAATCTAAACCTTCAAAGGCGAACTATGATGCTTATTATGACTCTTTTTAAGAACAGATCGCAACAAGAAGGTGAAACCCCACTAAACCATACCGACTATAACACCAGCACTAGGGCAAAGACGAGCAAAAGTTTAATACTGAAATGTAATTTTAGCCCTCAAAGGGAGAAACAATGGGTCGCACATGAACTATTGAAGTCCACTCGAGATTGTTGGGCATCTGGAGAGTCTCAAGCTGGAATTTTCTCTTCTTTACTTCCTATCTTAGAGACAGAACAGGGCGTGCATGAAACCGTTTATTACATATATGGTTGACAGGGAGCTAGTCCAGGGAGCAACATCCGTGATTAGAATTATTCAACCAAACGAGGTAAGAGAGACGGATGATTTTTCAACAGTGTTCGTGCAGGAGCGAAAATATCATCCCAAGAAAAAAAAAGTGAGAAAGAAAGAGAAAGAGTAAAAGAGAGACAGATAGATAAAGAGAAAGAGGGAGAAAGAAAGAAGGAGAGAGGGGAGAGAGAGAGAGAGAGAGAGAGA